CACTCCAGCACCTTGATATGCTTCTTACGGAGCCACTCCTTGGTTATCCTGGCTGTGTGCTTCAGGTCGTTGTCATGTTGGAAGACCCAGCCACGACCCATCTTCAATGCTCTGACTGAGGGAAGGAGTTTGTTGCTCAAAATCTCACAATAAACTGGCCCCATTCATCCTCTCCTTAATACAGTGCAGTCGTCCTGTCCTCTTCTCAGAAAAGCACCCCCAAAGCATGATGTTACCACCCCCATGCTTCACAGTAGGGATGGTGTTCTTGGGATGCAACTCATCCTTCTTTTTCCTCCAAACACGATGAGTGAAGTTTAGACCAAAAAGTTCTACTTTGGTCTCATCTGACCACATTCTCCCATGCCTCCTCTGGATCATCCAGATGGTCATTGGCAAACTTCAGACGGGCCTGGACATGTGATGACTTGAGCAGGGGAGCCTTCCATGCAATGCATGATTTGAAACCATAACGGCGTAGTGTTCTACCGACAGTGACCTTTGAAACTGTGGACCCAGCTCTCTTCATGTGTCATTGACCAGCTCCTCCCTTGTAGTTCTGGGCTGATTCCTCACCTTTCTTATCTTCAGTGATACCCCACGAGGTGAGATCTTGCATGAAGCCCCAGTCCGAGGGAGACTTACAGTCGTCTTTAGCCTCTTCCATTTTCTAACAATTGCTCCAACAGTTGATCTATTTTCACCAAGCTGCTTGGCAATCGCCGCGTAGCCCTTTCCAGCCTTGTGGAGGTCCACAATTTTGTCTCTGGTGTCTTTTGACAGCTCTTTGGTCTTGCCCATGGTAGTAGTTGGCATCTGACTGACTGTGGGGTAGACAGGTGTCTTTAAAGAGCTCAGACAGGTGCTACTAAGTTAGATTAATGAGTGGAGTAGAGGTGGACTTTTTAAAGGCACAGTAACAGGTCTTTGAGAGCCAGAATTCTTGCTGTTTCTTAGGTGTTCAAATACTTATGTTCAGCAGTGCAAGACAAATAATTTCTATAAAAATCATACAATGTGATTTCCTGAATTTTTTTTTAAAATTCTGTCTCTCAGAGTGGGAATGCACCTACAATGTGAATTTCAGACCCCTCCATGATTTCTAAGTGGGAGAACTTGCAAAATTGCAGGGTGTTCAAATATTTCTATTCCTCACTGTACAAGTCCCAGTGGGACCCTTTTGGCTATCATTAACTGACAATTGTCCTGCAATATTGTATATTGTGCATTGCTTGTATCAGCCCAGATGGGTTGCAGTTTGTGGAAAAATGGATGTATAATTTCTGGACTGGCTTGTAACTCCTTCTTGTCTAAGATAAAATGCATAAACATCATTGAAAAAAAACATTCCAGAATGGTCCAAACAAGCATTCACCCTTAAAGGGCAGGGTACCCTCAATTTGTTTTTTGCAAAGAAATTTTGCTGACCAACACTTGGGTCACAGGATTCTTGTCATGTGGACAGACATAGTGCCTATCCATGAAAGCTGCCTTATGGAGACCTCCAAGGTATCCACCAAGAAACTCAAGGCTTTTGGAAAGTCTTTCGGGACTTGCCAGGTCCTCTGGGTCTGATTCTCTTGAATGGAGCATATTCATTATTTAGACTTTAAGGGCTTGGCAAACTCCCACCACAGTTACCACGGGCTGCAGAGCTACTTCTACCAGGGAGAAAGATGCCTTAAAGATGGCCTCTAACTTCCTTACCTTCTTTAGAGGCCAGGACCTCATCCACCTGGACTGCTTTTTGAAGAATTCCACCTCCATGAGCTACTGGTGAGTGAAATGCTTTGGTGGTGAATGCACCTTCCCCGAGTGAGTTCAGTAGGCATATGTCATTTCTTGTGAGTGTGCACTGGAAAAACTTTGGCAGCTACCAGGACCCGAAACCAGTGACTTTGGGGGAAGAGGTTTGCAGCAACAGTAACTTAAGGTTAGTAAGTACCACATCTTCCAGGAAACTCACTCTGGTTATCTGTGTCTGAGACATCCCTGTACCCTGAGACTTCTCCTGGGAGGACTTATCCACAGAGGATTTCCTGATCCTCAAAAGCATTCACCTCTTTCTTATCCTGAGGAATTTCCTCTGATGCCTCATCCTCCCTCAAAAGGGGAGGATAGGAAAGAGAACACCAATGTTTGCATCCTAGGCATTCCAACCCAGTGAGAACCCATGAGAGTTAATCATGCAGTCCAGATATGGATGCAGAAAATAACCACCTTGATACAAGGAGGTTGAGGACTGTGCCCCTAAAATAGTGGAAATTCCTGAAAAGGGCAGGGCAAACTTTGTAGAGGGTTCTTCATATTTGATTAAGGGATATGGGAGCCCACCCCATCATCTTTCCCTCCACCTTTTTGTCTGTGTGAGGCCATGTCATGTTGAGAGTTAAACAGATTTGTGAACCCCAAATGGAAGCAGCCACTCGGCTAAGAGGAGTGTCTGCCTAAGCCAGAACACCTCGGTGGCAGTCACTCCCAGTAGATAATGTCCCAATATTTGCTGTGCCTGGATGCAGAGCTGCAGTGGTGGTGGGCAGGATTGTAGGCAGACGCTGAGCAACCAAGACTGTTCATGTGGTGTGACCAGGTATCTCTACCCTGTTTAGATTAGGAGTTGTAAGACAGCCCCTTTGTCACCCTAGTACAAAACTGCCCCAAAAATAATAAAAAGGGATAGCTGTCAGGGGGAATGGCCACCATGCTTCACTATAACAAATTCACTCACCAGTCCATGGCTGCAGGGCCAGTAGGCCCAATCTCATAGCTTTATATCTGCAGTGTAAGATCTACAGCATTGCTGTCTGTATCTATAGCCTTGTAGTTGTGTATCTGCAGTATAAGATCTACAGCATTGCTGCCTCTGATTGCTATTCTGGAGATTTGGAGGGAGATTTGGTAAAGACATTGTTGCTCTCTATTCTTGCTCAAGGAAAAAAAGCACTGCATTGCCCTACCAAGATGGCCACCTCCACACAGAGATCCTGTACAGAACAAAGCACAGTAATTCAGTAATGGGGTAATGACCAACTGCAGAGAGGTCACAGGCAAGAAAGATGACTAGCCATTTGCCTGCTCTTTTTTGGGTACAACTTGCTGAGTTTCTCTTTAAAGCATATGTCAAGGCAAAAAAAAAAAACTGAAAAACACACAGTATTATCTACAAGTTGCACATTTCCCCATTTTTAGTCCCTTTAAACTTTGCAGGTACAGAAGAATAACTGCTGATGTGCTAGAAATATAGTGTGCTCTTCCATTTTGACATGACAACACAGTGTATTTTTGGCTCTAAATTCCAAAGCATGTGTTATCAGTTCTATCAAATCATGTGTTATCAGTTCTATCTACTTTTGTTTCCGATGGATTACAAAAAACACAGCCCACTCTTCATCTCCTCACCCTTCCTCACTGCATAAGTCAGGATTTCTCAACCAGGGCTCTGTGGAACTCTAGGGTTCCTCCCAAGGTTGATAGAGGTTTCTTTAGCAATGATCAAATTTTGCTTCTCCGATAAGTTCTCACTGACACCATTGATCTTTTTAGCTATCTGTTGGATACCATCACACTATTCTATCTGTGACCATCACACTATTCTGTGTTATGACTTGTAGATATAGTAATTTTTAGCAGGGGTTCTCTGAGACCAAAAAGTTATTTTAAGGGTCCTCTGTGTTGAAAAGGTTGAGAAAGTCTGCCATAAGCACTTCTTGTGCACAGACAGAGAGCATATAAAAAGTTTTCAGCTCACAAGATTTATGTAGAATCATGTTGGTTCTTTTTGCACTTAGAAAACAGAGAAAACAGATATAACAAAACACTTTCAAATGTGTATTTAGCAGACCAAAAGGGAGCAAGTAAGTTCATTGTGCTTGTTTACATACACTTATAGAAAAAAATGAATTTATACTGTATATACCGTATTTGCCGGCGTATAAGACGACTGGGCGTATAAGACGACCCCCCTACTTTTCCTGCTAAAATGTAGTGTTTGGGCTATACTCGCCGTATAAGACTACCCCTCTTCCAGTGCACACCAGTGGGAGGAATAGTGCCCCATCATCGGTATCAGTGGGGGGAATAGTGCCCCATCATTGGTATCAGTGGGGGGAATAGTGTCCAATCATTAGTATCAGTGGGGGGAATGGTGCCCCATCATTGGTGTCAGTAGGAGGAATAGTGTCCCAACATTGGTGTCAGTGGGAGGAATGGTGTCCCATCATTGGTGTCAGTGGGGGGTGGAATAGTGCCCCATCGTTGGTGTCAGTGGGGGGGGAAATAGTGCCCCATCGTTGGTTTCAGTGGGGGGGAGGAATAGTGCCCCATCATTGGTGTCAGTGGGGGTGGAATAGTGCCCCATCATTGGTGTCAGTGGGGGGGTGGAATAGTGCCCCATCGTTGGTGTCAGTGGGAGGAATAGTGCCCCATCATAGGTATCAGCGGGAGGAATAGTGCCCCATCATTGGTATCAGTGACACCAATGATGGGGCACTATTCCTCCCACTGACACTTGCTGACTCTGTTCTCGTATGGTGCTGCCAGCATATGTGGTTGCTGCAGCACCTCTACACTGACCACTTACCTGCTGGTCCTGCACTCGATTTTCGCGCGCGGCCGCTCGGCTCCACCCTCTCGCCGGTGATTGGCCGCCTGTGTGCCTTTCCTGAGCTACAGTTCTGGCGGCCAATCGCTGGTGAGGAGGCGGAGCCGAGCAACCGCGCGAACTCCAGTGGCCGAACTGAAGGCGCAGCCGCGCTTCCTGGACCGGATCGTCGTGGGACCGGAACCAGGTAAGAAATAGCCCCTGCCCACCCCTGTACTTAGTGTCCCTTCCGTTAGGGGAAGGGGGGGGGCGGCGGCGGCACCGCGCCGCCCCCCTAAAAAGTGTCATGTCATGTTATACCGGCGTATAAGACGACCCCCGACTTTTGAGAAGATTTTTAAGGGGTAAAAAGTCGTCTTATACGCCGGCAAATACGGTAAGTAAAGTATATTCCACCTTTATTCTGTTTTAAATAGTGCAATCAAAAGTTCAGAAAAATCTAGGAAAAATATCTTGCAGTGTTCACTGCAAATCACTAAAAAAAAAATCACTGTTTATTTTCCAGGTGACAAAAGGAAAAGTAGTGAACCTTATTCTGCAGAAGATTCCAAAAGACCCAGAGCAGTAGGAGACATTCCTATTGAACTGATCAATGAAGTAATGTCTACTATCACAGATCCTGCTGCCATGCTGGGCCCTGAGGTATATCTAGATTAACAATATATGATTACCATGAAAAACCGGTATTATAACCTTTCCTGATCATGCTCTTTTTATGTTGATGATGAATTAACAGAAATAATGCACAATACATTTAACTAATTAAAAAATTGCATTAAATTATCTGATAAGCAATATTTTTAGATGACATATTTCTGCTGCTATATAAAAAGTACACTGTAAATAATGTATTACCATGGAAAAAGCTAGCCATATGAAGTATATGTTTTCTGCTGTGAAATAGAGCATCATTCCACAAAGTGGAGAGGAAATGGTGAGAATATGACATCTGTTAGTTTGCATGGATATTTGAAAGAAATATGCTTAGGGCAGGATGAATCCAACATCCAGGTAATCAATTAATTTTTCTTGGAAGTATTAATTTGTCAAAGTGAGCCTGTCATCGGGACTCCCTCTCCTCTTTGGCTGAGACAGCAATGGGAGCCATTGAGAAGAGAGAGGGTGGGGCCGAGCCACGGCTCTGTGTGTGAATGGACACACGGAGCAGCAGCTGGGGAGTGTGCATGCTCGGGTGCCCCTATAGCAAGCTGTTTGCTGTGGGGGGGCACCCGACAGGAAGGAGGGGCCAAGAGTGCTGGCGGGGACCCGAGAAGAGAAGGATCTGGGCTGTTCTGTGCAAAACCACTGCACACAGCAAGTAAGTATAGACCTGTTTGTTTTTTGTTTTTAATATAAGCCTTTAGAATCACTTTAAGAGCACTAAGTGTCATTTCTGTCTTCTGCGTCATTCCTTTGCTATCAGCATGAATCACTTCTGTCAAGTTGTCATGACACCAAGAGAAAAAAGGTGACAGGGAATGAACCTCCAGTAGAGTGACAGCCTCAGCTCCTGTGAGCTGCGTGGAGGGGGTGTGTCCATTCCCTTCAATCATCTCTCAAATCTCTCCTCAGTGAGCTCTGCAGAGTGTCACCTCAGCTCTCCACCCCCTTTTTTCTGACAGCTTTACAAGCTTTTTAAATTCAGCACTTTCAATAGATGTAGAGATGAGATCACTGCAGATAGAAAAGTACAACTTATGTAGGAGGATTTGTTTCATCTCTGTGTATCACCCAACGCCAGCCACTTCACTGGGTATATGTAAGGGTTTGATGCAGTAGGAAAAAGGATCAGCCGCACACCAGAGGATAGATGAATATAGTGTGTATTTATTGATCCATAGGACAAACAAAACACCAGGACATGAATACAGGACCTGTTAACGTGTTTCACACGATCTCGTGCTTAATCTTGAAACGTGTGAAACGCGTTAACAGTGTTTATTTCAGACAAAACCTGAACTGTAAAATTGCAGTAAGATAACTAAGCCTGCGAATGTAATGATCCAGTATAGTCACTCAGTGTGCATATATAATGGCAAACTACATAGAAACAAGGCTATTAAAATTCCTCGATAAGATTATTTAAATGTGTCACTCTCACATCTACAGTATATCTAAAACCCATTAAAATGTAGCTCATATTTAATGGAAACATATTCCCTGCCATCCTAAAATGACTTGCCTCTTAGATTTGACTTAAGCCTTCCCTGATTTATCTACTCTTTTATTATTCTGTTTTAATGTTTTAAAGTAAATAGAAACTCCAACCAAACTTTAATATACAGTAATAAAATTCTAGTTTTTTAATTTGAAACCATTTGCTGAGCTGTTTTTTATTCATTATTTCCATTTTATATTTATTAAGACCAGCTTTCTGTCTGCTATTTCTGCGAGAGATGAGGCAGCCAGGCTGGAAGAGCGCAGAGGTGTGATTGAGTTTCATGTTGTCGGGAATTCTCTTAACCAAAAACCCAATAAAAAGATCATGATTTGGCTTGTTGGCTTACAAAACGTCTTCTCACATCAGCTACCAAGGATGCCAAAGGAATATATCACCCGCCTTGTCTTTGATCCGTGAGTTACTTATGCATGTTAAAAAAGTCTCTTTTTTATCTTCTGGCTACTGTTATGCTGATATTTCATCATGGTAAAATGAGTGTTGATCATCTAACACCATGTTTAGCTAGTTCTGTTCCCTAAAGGTGATAGTTTTAATAGTAATTTTATAATAGCAGACCCATATGCTATTGTATTTTGTACTGTTTATATACATACTTGCTTGCTACATTGTTAGGTTAAATGACTTGCAGTTATTAAGTTGTATTCCAAGCCAACAATTGTACTTTTGTTTGCGTACAAAGCTTTAGTAGCTAGTCCACCTTCTGATGTAATGCAGAAACCCATGCTGAAATCATCAACTTGAGATTTCATATGAACTACTCTTTTGAGCACTAATTAGAATTAAAAATATATTAAAGATACCATCCATCAAAGACATGTGTTTTCCTTGTGAAGAGCATATATTCAGTATGTAAGTTCTATCCTAATCAAAGAAAAATGTGTGCCAAGTGAGGGAAAGAGGCATGAATATACTTGAAAAACACTTCTCTACTCTTGTTACACCTGGGCTGTAATGCAGTAAATCATTTCATTTGTATGGGTTTCTCCAGTGAGAAAAATGATAGTAATTATATTTCTTACTAAAACTTTGGTGTTCTCCATGACTCAGTCATTATCAGTTTGATGAGGTCCTACCCAGGCTATTCAAGTATCCACTCTCACGCTTGTTCAACTCAGCTAAAGAAGTTGTGCATTAAAAATATAAAATCCTAATGTATAAAATCTTAACATGATAACCTGTCTGTCTATCAGTGTATCTTATACTGCCATAGTCAGTTTCTGGCAATAACCAATTGCAACTCATTGATGGACATTACAAGTGCAGTTGCTGAGGTCTAGAAAATCAAATAGGACAGTCAGATGTGTTTAAGCTGTCTTATGACCTGACTACACACAACAAGTTCATTCTAAGCTTTCTCTTTCAGAGCACTAGAAAAATTAAGTTTAGGTCTTTTATAGGAAAACATTTTTGTTTCTGCCAGGGCACCTAGATATTAATTGAGTATGGTTGTGAGTTCACACAACATCCTTCACTTAAACACCTCTATAAAGATTTCTCTAAAGCTTAAACAAATCCCCTCTGAACTGTACAGCATCCATAAAGAGTTTTTGGAAATTGACATAGATCACTAAAAATGATGGTGTAATTAAATGCAACATTCTTAAAGCTAATTTTTCCCTTATGTTTTTAGGAGTTGTGATGCTACAGTCTGAGCAATTGATGTTTCTAAGAACATTTCTGTTTTTAGGAAACATAAAACACTTGCTCTTATCAAGGATGGACGTGTCATTGGGGGTATCTGCTTTCGAATGTTTCCAAGCCAAGGATTCACAGAGATAGTCTTCTGTGCTGTGACTTCGAATGAACAAGTAAAGGTGAGAAATGATTATCAGCATTTAAAAAAGCCCTTCTTAATCCAGAAGAATGAATGTTCAATAAATGTACAGTGGGTATTTCATTTAGTTAAATTTTCCTTTTCCTAATCACATCTGTTTATATTGCTCATACTTGAATGGCTATCTATTTCTACTAGTATCTACACTACCTTAAATGAATACATTTGCAGCTACTATAAATGTTATCTCCTGGATATCTTAATTATTCTCTTCTTCAATATACAGTTAATGTCAGTAGATCCAAGTAGGGTAACAGGATGGTTGGAGAAATAACGGGTTTGCACCAGTATATCTGTTTGCATGAATACATGGTATCTTCACCAATCCTGATGACTTCTTTGAAAACTATGAGTACTAATTACCTTGTGAGCCACTGAGGTATACTGACAATTATGTGTATTAGGTCGCTGGTTTGCCCACTCTCATAACATGCGTTTAATATCAATCAAATCATTACCACGCTCTAATACCATACCAAAGTGTTTGTGAAAAAATCAATATATAATTAATAGTGACTGATATAAAGAAAATATAAAAAATATTGATAAATTAAAATAGTGACCATAATATCAAATCACTGAATGTGCAATTCTCATTTAAATGTGCAAATATTCCATAAATAAACCACAAAGAATTTCATAATGAAATAAATATAAAAATAAAAAACTAGATAATATATGATGTGAAAAAGATCAACAGTACTGTCCCAAGTGCAACTGAGTAGATAAAGTTCCAGCAAAAACAGATATACTCTCCTTCAATATAAAGATAGGATCTTTGCAGTTGAGCTGTGAGCCTGTGTGGCTGCAAGGCTGTGAGGGATACTCCCTCCTTTAATCCGCTCCTTAATCCAATGCCTTTCCTCTTATGTATGTAACACATAACATTGCGCTTTGGGTATGTCAATAGCTGTAGCTGGCACTAGAAAACAAAAGCAGAGGGTGTGTGTCCTCACACCTTCAGTACTCGCCGTATAGTAGATAAGATATGCGGTGACGTCACTGTCCCTCCCCAACGTGTTGCGCTACAGGGATTACATAGCTTCGTCTGGGGGATAATGTGTTACATACATTGGGCAGAGTAAGGCACATGACATCATTCCTAACAAGTGGAGCGCATGCATGCATAGAAGTAGGAAATGCCAGTGGAGCATGGCTCCTATGTAAGATTAATCTGGTGATACTAAGTGCTGGGCTGAGCACCAAGTAATGTAAGTACAATTTGTTTGTTTTATGCTATTTTAAATAAAATACAATTTTATGTGATATGGATCCCTCTGTTTCCTGCCTTTTATACAAAGGAGACCTCTGGAGGAGTGAGACCAAGGGGAAAGTTTTTTTCTGATTCAAACCAAGACCATTAGACCCACTTTTTAGCTTAAAAGCCTATGCAGTTATGGGACATCTGTAGATATAAACAAACTGTACAGCTTTGACCAAAATTGAATAATGCCTTTGCTATAGGTGTAGGCCATTTAATTACCTCACAAAGTCTGACTGAAAAACTCCCAGAGGTAACATCATCCCATCCTGTCTTGTTGCTAGGATGCTGCTAAGAGACCTCCAGCTGTTACTGATAACCTCCACCATCACAAGAGCAGGTTTTTTGTCTAATTCACCCCCCTCATGCTCTTTCTCTTACCTGGCAAATTAACTCTAAACTAAGTGTGTGAGAGCTCTCTGCTGTGATGGTGGAGGTGAACAGTAACAGCTGGGAGTGTCAATGTAGCAATGTCCTAGTAACAAGGCAGGAGGATGTGTTATAATCCCGGTTTTGCAGTCAGGTTTTGCCAGCACAGTTAGACGAGAAGTGTGGAAGCACTTCTCTTATGGCTTAGCCAGTCAATGAGAGATATTTCCCATCTCCCCATCAGCACAGTGAAAGAAAAGTGCAGAAGCACTTCTGTTATGACAGCCAGTCACAGAGAGATCTTTCCGATCTCCCTGCCAGCACACAGAGCGATAATACGCATGGGTGATTAGGGTGCTCCCAGGCACATCTGGCATACCCCGTGTACGCACCTTTGTGGCCAGCATCATCCAACCTTATTCCTGTGAGGCCAGGATGTCGTGGACACTCTCTCTGGGGTTGTGCCATCACACAGCGTAGGCCCATGGTACTGAGTCAGTCCAGGAGGAAAGACCTTCTAAAACTGTAGCTTAGGAAAAACCCATGATGTCACTTGGCTGGCCTAAAAAAATATGTGTTGGGTGTGGGTTTTTTTAATGTATCAAAGGGGGCTTTGGAGGGGAAACTGGAGTTCTTTATTATAAGTAATGAAAGTATTTGGTATATTTTACATGCCTTTTGTTTATAGTTTTGCATATTTACTTGCACACCAAGTTATGAAGTACAAATTGTAGTGACAGGGCCTTGGACAAACTATAAAACTGCTAGGAATGCTCACAATGGTTACACTTAGGCTGGCCATACACTGTACAATTTTCTTACAGTTTTCTGTCCAATTTCTGCCCAATTTCCATTAGATTTAGCTTCAACTATGTAGAGCAAGGGCATGCCTAATTGGATACAATTGAAAGTGTTGTTCATGATTAACTTCATATAATATGGTTTTTGGTAAATATAAAGCAAAATTCTCAAGAAAATTGTATAATGTATGGCCAGCCTTAGTTTGTGTGGTTTACATAAAAAAAAAAAAAAAACTGCTGTTTCAACTGCACAAACACCCTTAGACGTGTTATATTCATGCTTATCCCATGCTTGCCACTTGTGCTGGACAGCATGAGCTCCACGTAAATATGGAGAAAATTACTTGAAACCTCTCCCTCCTCCTACCTATTTCCTGGAATGAGAATCATCCTTTATAACTCTTTGTGATGTAATTAGCAGGCTTGTAAAATTGTTGCAGGGGAGGTGCTAGGAAATACGTTCCAAATGAAGTAGGCATGCACCCCAGAACTACATCTCCCAAAAGCTTCTTACCATATGCACAGTGTGTGGGCAGGCTTAAGGTAGCAGAATTGTTTTGCAAAGAAATACGTTAATGTATGTATATGGAGTAAGACAGAGAGGACAGGAATGGGAGAAGTTTTGTAATCCAGCAGCTAAAGCTGAGAATGCTGCTTAGGATTTCTGGGCAGCAGGGGCAGCATTGTCTGCTCACTACAGGAAGTTAGGAGCTTACTAGATTTTTGGCAAGATCATCAGGTATTTGTACATGCAGCATTTTTCTTCTCTTCTTGCAACATTTTTAAAGAGACAAAACACATGGAAATGCTCATGTATTTTAGACATGCACTGCTTGTTTTGATTTTTTTTTGCCCAGCCTTTAACCACTTGCCCTCCTGAGGATTTACCCCCCTTCATGATCAGGCCATTTTTTGCATTACAGCCCTGCTTTACTTTAACTGACAATTGCGCGGTCATGCAACGCTGCACCCAAATTAAATTTTCTGTCCTTTTTCCCATGATTTGAGCTTTTTTCGGTGGTATTTGATCACCTGTGCGGTTTTTATTTTTTGCGCTATAAGCAAAAAGAGTCTGACAATTTTGAGCAAAAAACAAACATTTTTTGCTATTAAATATGTTCAGTAAAAAAAATTATTAAAAAAAATCAAATTTCGTCATAAATTTAGGCCAAAATGTATTCTTTGCTAAAAAAAAATCCCAATAAGTGTAAATTAATTGGTTTACAGGCATACCTCGATTTATGAATTCAGTTAGTTTTGCAGGACTTTTCGTATAGCAAAAAGTTCGTAAACCAAAACGCCGTTTCCCATAGGAATGCATTGAAAACCAATTAATCCATTCCGGAGGTCAGAAAAAAGTAAATGCTACTAAAATATCGCATTAATTATTTTATCAAGCCTTGCGGTATTTTGGTAGTGACAACCATGTTTTAATGTTTCAGCTGTCAGCGGGGTTCCCCACTGACAGCTGAATGTAAAAGAATTGCTGGCAATTAAAAAAATAAATAAATAAACGGCGTGGGGTCCCCTCTCCCATCCATACCAAGCCCTTCGGGTCTGGTTTGGATTTTGAGGGGAACTCTCACGCCAAAATTTGTTAAAAAAAATGGCTAGGCACGTCAGGAAAGGGGGGGGCAGCGAGCGCCCCCCCCCGAACCATACCAGGCCTGGCCAGTGGTTGTGGGGGTCTGCGGGCAGGGGGCTTATAGGAATCTGGGGCCCCCAGATGCCGCCCCCCACATGTGAATGAATATGGGGTACATGGTCCCGCTATTCATTCACAAATATAAAAAGTGTAGTGTGAAGTAAGACAGGACACGGTCTTTGACAAGTCCTTTATTAAAATAAAAGAATGTCCCCTGCAGTAGAACCAACGTCAAGAATAAAGAAAAAAAGGCTCTGCTTCCAGCGATGACCCCTGGCCATCTGCCTGCTCCGGTAGTTTGACAGTTCTTAAATATGTAAGAGGCGGGGCCACCCAGGGACATCACCCATGTGACCCCGCCCCATATGACATCATATGACATCATATGGTGGAGTCACATGTGTGATGTCCCCAGGTAGCCCCGCCCCTTACATATTTAATAACTGTCAAACCACTGCAGCAGGCAGATGGTTGCGGGCCATCGTTGGAAGCGGAGCCTTTTTTTTTTTTTTTCGGGTCGGCGGCGGCGGTGGACATCGTGACTGACATTGGATCTGCTGCGGGGAACATTCTTTTATTTTTTTCCTTTTAATAAAGGACTTGTCAAAGACCGTGTCCTGTCTTTTTTCACACTACACTATTTGTATTTTTGTGAATGAGTAGGGGGACCATGTATCCCATACTCATTCACATGGGGGGGGCTGGGATCTGGGGGGGGCTTCCAGATTCTGATAAGCCCCCTGCCCGCAGACCCCCACAACCACCAGCCAGGGTTTTGGGGAAGAGGCCCTTGTCCCTTTTAACATGGGGACAAGGTGCTTTTGGGGGGAGCCCCCCCTGCCCCAAAGCTCCCCCTCATGTTGAGGGCATGTGGCCTGGTATGGTTCACGAGGGGGGGGGGCGCTCACTCGTCCCCCTCCCTTTCCTGACCTGCCGGGCTGCATGCTCAGATAAGGGTCTGATATGGATTTTGGGGGGGACCCCCATGCCATTCTTTTTTTTTTTCTACATTTTAGCATGGGAGTTCCCTTCAAAATCTATACAAGACCCAAAGAGCTTGGTATGGATGGGAGGGGGGACCCCACACCTCTTTTTTTTTTTTTTTTATTATGGTGCCGGTTTTTAAATGTAATTACCGCTTTTTTTTTTTTTTTTCACTATAGCTCAGAGATTCAGCTTTCACTTTCCCCCCAGCTAAAAGAAAGAAAGTTTTCTTTTAGTTTATTTCCCCAAGTTAAAAGAAACAATGTTTCCTTTTAGTTTCTTAAAAGAAACAGTTGCCTTTAACTTCTGGGAAAGTGACAGCTAATTCTGTGAGCTATAGTGAAGAAAAAAAAATCCCCGCAATTGCATTTAAAAATTGGCACCGACATACACTTCGTATTGCGAAAAAAAATTAGTAAAACATTTGTAAACCAAGGCATTATTTGCAATGGGTTTTTCATTCGTAAACCAAAAATTATGTTAACCGTGGCGTTTGTAAACTGAGGTACACCTGTATTTGAAAGTTATAGCGTTTACAAATGGCGGTATAGATAATGGAATTTTTATTTTTTCTACTAGTAATGACGGCGATCAGCGACTTTTAGCGGGACTGCAGCGGACATTCTGACACTGGGGGGAACTAACTTGGTGTCACTGACACCACAGTGACACCAATACAGTGATCAGTGCTAAAAAAAAAAAGCAATGACACTGTACTAATGGCACTGGGCAGGAAGGGGTTAATGTGAGGGGTGATCAAAGGGTTAACTGTGTGCTGGGAGTGTTTTACTAGGGGGTGGGATGTGTGTTCTTCACTGTAAGCACACTGATCGGGATGGCTGTATTGTGCACAGCCATCCCGAGCAGTTTGCTCGAGCTGACAGGGAGGAAGATTGTTTGTAAACAAAACAATCATCCTCCCCATCGGAGATGCTTGGTAATCACCGGGCGCCGGCAGGTAATTACCGGCCGGGATCTAGTGATTGACATCCACGCCCGTGAATGGCTACCTACCCGGAGGTGCAAAATCACGTATATATACGTGATTCTGTGCACAGGTGCCGCCCTGTAGCAGTATATCTGCTATAGAGCAGTCCTTAAGCGGTTAATCATTTTACACAAGTCCAGATTATTACTGCAAAATAAGTAGGAAGGATAGAGAAAAGCAAAAGCATACTATGTAATTTTCAAAGGGGAGACTTACTGGGTAAAAGTCATTTTTCATTTTTTATCTTGCAGGGTTATGGCACTCATTTAATGAATCATTTGAAGGAATATCACATCAAACATAATGTATTGAATTTCCTCACCTACGCTGATGAATATGCAATAGGCTATTTCAAGAAACAGGTACAATGAGTTACTGCAAATTAACATTCATTGCAAATGCTTGTGTGCATATATTGTTCTTTTACAACTAGAGATTGGTTAGTATTTCAGTCAAAGTCTTATTCAGTAAAGGATAGAGAAAAGCACATAGACTTTTCTTGATATTTCACCTAAAATTTGTGCTGCCATGATTTGATCAGATATTTCATTTTACTAAACTATCAACAGACATGCATTCACAGACATTCACTTGCATAGAAATAAAGAAAAGCAAACATCTAAAGATGTAAAAGTCAAATAAAAAATTACATTACTGCAAAAAACTAATCACTGCAATAATAATTCACAACAAATACAATGTGTACCCCTTTTAAAGTAAATTTATCCCCCAAAAATATTTGGAGCTGCCTTTGCTGACCTCACTCTAAATTCTAAAAATTATAGTTGCTTGGAGATTCACTGTCTTCACTATTTGTTTTAGTGAATCACTCGAAATTCTTAGATAGAGAAATGTAAGAAGACCTTATCTACCTACTCTTACTTTTGGTCAGTGACTCAAAGCACTGAAACAATAGAGTCAGTAGGCAAACAGCTTTTTCAGAAGATCACATGACAGGGCTGCAGCTTAGCAATTATCCTAGGCACCCAGGGCTGTCCCATGTTCTCCATACCCAAAAGTACATGATATTCTTTTTGTTCCAGGCGACCAAAAGCAGTGGAAGTAAAAGAAAGAGGAGTTCTGTTGGGTGGTGCAGACATTAAAAGTGAACTTGTTGCTTTTGCATACATTAAGTAAAGTACAGGTTCATCATAGGGATCACTTGGTCTTTATGACCTGATCTATTGAGGAATGACTATATTTTGTTGGCCAGAATAAAGGGAAATGTTTTCAGATTCATATTTAGAATAAGGATCAGATTGCTTTTTTTAAGAAAACCTAGACTTATACTTTGAATATTATCATGATAAGGAAATGGTTAAATCATTTGAGGGTTCAGTAATCATTAAAGAAACATGAGAAAGACATGGAGGCTTCCAGCCTTGCTGTACTCTCACCTTTTTAAATTAGTACTCCTAAAACGAAGCTCCACACAAAAGGGGAAGTTGTGATTTACGGCTTTGTCCCCCACTCCCTGTTAAGGATTGGCACCTTTGAGGAGGGGGGGGAGAGCGGGTACCTGAATTTGACAGGTACCCGCTCCCACTTCTGGTGCTAAGTTGTCCTCCCTCCTCATAGTCTTCTGGGACATGGGACGGGTCCCAGAAAACTACGGGACCATTCACAAAGTGCAGCACTACTCACGCATGCACAGTAGGCACCCGGTGAAACCACAAGCTCTCATAGCCTGGTGCCCACACTGAAGGTGCCAGGGAGAGAAGACTAACAGTGAAACCAGCCATGGTGAGGACACCACTGGACCGAGGGACAGGTAAGTGTCTGTATTTTAAAAGTCAGCAGCTACAGTTTGTGAAGCTGCTGACTTTTATTTTTTTTTTATTCAACTGGAACTCCACTTTAAGTCACTGACCCCAAGCATGATTGTATACAGATAAGAAACTCTGACTTTTCTCTGAATTTTCTAAACTGGATACAATACATGTTCCAGGGTAATGAAGCCTTTTCTGGAGCATTTTCAGGAGAGGTCCAATGATTTTCCTATGTTTTTCCCTAATGTACCGTATTTTCCGGCGTGTAAGACGACTTTTCAACCCCTGAAAATCTTCTGAAAAGTCGGGGGTCGTCTTATACGCCGGTGCGAACCGGTGTCAGGGTGGCACTTTTTCGAGGGGCGGCGTGGCGCCGCCCCCCCTCCTCCTCCAGCGGACACTAAGCACAGGGGTGGGCAGAGGGGGCTGCTGTACCTTACCTGGCTCCGGTCCCACGACGATCCGGTCCAGGAAGCGCGGCTGCTCCTTCTTTCAGTTTGGCCGCTCGATGGTCACGCGGCCGCTCGGCTCCGCCTCCTCACCGGTGATTGGGCGCCAGCACTGGAAAGCCACACAGGCGACCAATCACCGGCAAGGAGGCGGAGCCGAGCGGCCCCGTGAAAATCGAGCGGCCGCACTGGAAGAAGGAGCAGCCGCTCCTCTCCCCCACTGACACTAACGATGGGGCACTATTCCTCCTCCACACTGACACCAACGATGAGGCACTGTTCCTCTCCCACTGACACCAACGATGAGGCACTGTTCCTCCCCCACTGACACCAACGATGAGGCACTGTTCCTCCCCCACTGACACCAACGATGAGGCACTGTTCTCCCCACTGATACCAATGATGGGGCACTATTCCTCCCCCACTGATACCAATGATGGGGGCACTATTCCTCCTCCCCACTGACACCAATGATGGGGCACTATTCTCCCCACTGATACCAATGATTGGGCACTATTCCTCCCACTGATACCAATGATGGGGCACTATTCCTCCCACTGACACCAGTGATGGGGCACTATTCTCCCCACTGATACCAATGATGGGGCACTATTCTCCCCACTGACACCAATGATGGGGCACTATTCCTCCCCCACTGACACCAATGATGGGGCACTATTCTCCCCACTGATACCAATGATGGGGCACTATTCCTCCCCCACTGACACCAATGATGGGGCACTATTCTCCCCACTGACACCAATGATGGGGCGCAATTCCTCCCACTGACACCAATGATGGGGCGCAATTCCTCCCACTGACACCAATGATGGGGCGCAATTCCTGCCACTGATACCAATGATGGGGCGCTATTCCTCCCACTGACACCAATGATGGGGCGCAATTCCTGCCACTGATACCAATGATGGGGCGCTATTCCTCCCACTGACACCAATGATGGGGTGCTATTCCTCTCACTGACACCAATGATGGGGTGCTATTCCTCCCACTGACACCAATGATGAGGCACTGTTCCTCCCCCACTGACACCAACGATGAGGCACTGTTCTCCCCACTGATACCAATGATGGGGCACTATTCCTCCTCCCCACTGATACCAATGATGGGGCACTATTCCTCCTCCCCACTGACACCAATGATGGGGCACTATTCTCCCCACTGATACCAATGATGGGGCACTATTCCTCCCACTGATACCAATGATGGGGCATTATTCCTCCCACTGACACCAATGATGGGGCACTATTCTCCCCACTGATACCAATGATGGGGCACTATTCTCCCCACTGACACCAATGATAGGGCACTATTCCTCCCCCACTGACACCAATGATGGGGCGCAATTCCTCCCACTGACACCAATGATGGGGCGCAATTCCTCCCACTGACACCAATGATGGGGCGCAATTCCTGCCACTGATACCAATGATGGGGCGCTATTCCTCCCACTGACACCAATGATGGGGCGCAATTCCTGCCACTGATACCAATGATGGGGCGCTATTCCTCCCACTGACACCAATGATGGGGTGCTATTCCTCCCACTGACACCAATGATGGGGTGCTATTCCTCCCACTGACACCAATGATGGGGTGCTATTCCTCCCACTGACACCAATGATGGGCCACTATTCCTCCCACTGATACCAATGATGGGCCACTATTCCTCCCACTGATACCAATGATGGGCCACTATTCCTCCCACTGACACCAATGATGGGACACTATTGCTCCCACTGACACCAATGATGGGGCACGATTCTTCACACTGACACCAATGATGGGACACTATTCCTCCCACTGACAACAATGATGGGGCACGATTCTTCACACTGACACCAATGATGGGACACTATTCCTCCCACTGACAACAATGATGGGGCACGATTCTTCACACTGACACCAATGATGGGGCACTATTCCTCCCACTGACTAATGATGGGGCACTATTCCTCCCACTGACTAATGATGGGGCACTATTTCATCCACTGACACCAATGATGGGGCACTATTCCTCCCACTGACTAATGATGGGGCACTATTCCTCACACACTGACACTAATGATGGGGCACCATCATTGGTGTCAGTGGGAGGAATAGTGTCCCATCATTGGTATCAGTGGGAGGAATAGTGCCCCATCATTGGTGTCAGTGGATGAAATAGTGCCCAATCATTGGTGTCAGTGGGAGGAGTTGTGCCTCATCATTGGTGTCAGTGGGAGGAATAGCACCCCATCATTGGAATACCATACTGAAATACCATACCATATTGAAATCAAATCTGATGTTTTTTTATTTGGTGTGCGTTGGAAGAGGGGTAGTCTTATACGGCGAGTATAGCCCAAACCCTATATTTTAACAGGAAAAGTAGGGGGTCGTCTTATACGCCCAGTCGTCTTATACGCCGGAAAATACCAGTGAGAAATTGTGTCCTGGTTACCCATCACTGTTTTAAGCCCAACTTCTGGGAAAAAAAGATGAATTTTTGCACCTAAGTAATCTGGTATTAAGATTGTGTCTAAACCCCATAATTACTTACCTGACTATGTGAACCCAGGTCATTGGCAACTTTAGCAGTCAAAGCGGTGCCCACATTATTGAGAAGAGACTTCCTCCTACACTGTTTCAGGTAAGTATTTGGGATTTTCAGTTATCTAGATGTAGGTGGACTTGGACAAGAAAGTGTTTTCTGATTACCCGAGGTGAGCTTTAAATGGAAGCTCTAATCCAATCTCATGTGTATTATTTTACCAAAAACTCACTTGTACCATACACTCTTTTGTTTAGTACATCAGTCATAGCATTACCCAACTGAGCAGCCTTCTTTGCCTGTACAAAGGTGAATCTCAAAGAAAATACAATCTTAGTTTAAGATTTTTTTTTCTTACATGTTTTAGGGTTTTTCAAAAGACATTAAAGTACCTAAAGCACGTTATGTTGGATACATTAAGGATTATGAAGGAGCCACTTTAATGGGATGTGAGTTAAATCCCAGGATACCATATACTGAATTTTCAGTCATCATAAAGAAACAGAAGGAGGTAAAGTACTATGACTGCTTTCAAACCAATGACAACAGTGATTTCATTGGAGCTTTCTGGGGAAGACATGACTAAAATGAGATGCGGGCCTGAAAATCCTATATGCAGTATAGCCAGGGGCGGACTGACAACTCATTGGACCCCTGGGCAATAGGGGATCATGGGGCCCTTGTGTCCTTGCCCACACTCAAAAAAGCCTATAAAAAAGGTACCAGGGGCATTGCATGGGGCCCCCTACTGACCCCGGGCCCTCGGGCAGTGCTCGAATGGTCAGTCCGAGCCCTGAGTATTGCATAAAGTGACTTTGTTTAAACTCACTAGCATGAAATGTTAGTTTATCTACACTTTTGCATCTTTGACTTTTTACATTGATACTTTTAAAGGTACCCAAAATTACAACAAAACTCTGCAAAAATGCAGGTAATACCAGCCACTGCTACAGTGGCAATTGAACACACTTATGCCTTGGGTCCAACAAAGGGCATTAATGTGTATTTATAACAAGATCATATCTTTCAGCATTGGTTAGAGTGAGAAGAGTTATAACCTCTACTGAGTTCCTTTACATTGGAGAGATCTACTCTTACTTTTTATGATGATTTGAGAAAGGTAGTGAAGGAAAATCTCCCTATTGGGACACAGACTGCAAAAAATTTGATGGGGTTTTTAACCATTCTATACGCTACCTAAAACTGAAAAAGATAAAGACAGAAAGTGTATCTCCTCTAGCCAGGAGCCATCGTGAGTGTTTAGTACTCCAGAGAGCCCCCACCCTCCATTATATGCTGTGTATAGACTAAAAGTTCACAATTGTGAACAATATTGTATTGCACATTTACATGGAGACTATTCTGTCAAACCAAGTGACAGGGGATGGGACAATTTGTAATACTGGGATAGTAGACCTTTAAAGTGTAACTGTAAGTGAATGTTCTTTTTATGGGGGGGGGGGGGAGCATGGGATAGGTTAAGAACTTCTTTCAAAATTTTGTTGCAATCTGTGTCCCCCATCATGGAGATTTCACTGAACATTCTGTTCCAAAAGAAACAGGTAGTGGGACAAAACATCCCCAAAGGGAAGTCCACATTTTCACTGATGTCAGAGAAACAGCTGTCCTCTATTGGGAGATTTCTCCTCACCCTCTGTTTCAATGGCCACTGTAACATTTTATAGTTTTGGAGTTTTTAAATTCCTTCATTTTCTTTCCCAGTGGCAATTTTTTCCACGTCAAATAGTGAAGATGAATCTCCCTTATGAGAACATGGACACCATCTTGAACAAAAATAGAAAAAAAAGATACAGCTTGAGTTATACAAACATCTTTATTTACTTTTACAGATCATCAAGAAAATGATTGAAAGGAAGCAAGCACAAATAAGAAAAGTATACCCAGGACTATCATGCTTCAAAGAAGGAGTACGGCAAATACCCATTGAAAGCATCCCAGGAATCAGTATGTTTTGTTTTTGTTCACTAAAATCATGTTGACCAAAGAAGAAAGCACACCTGATGTGCTTGTGAAGATGATGCATCATAGACTGTAGAATAGAGCATTCTATGAAAGGCTTATTTATCTTGCACTCTGGGTCCCAGCCCCAGTTTTACAGCTAACTCAAAGGGCCAGTTCACACCAGAACTTGGTGCAGGAAACCTGTGTTCTGTACGCATTTCCCACACTGCTTTCAAAACGCACTGTATTTGCGATCTGCAGTGGGTGTCAGTATTAATTTAACAACACCCCAAATGCAGGTTGCAAACACACTGCTTTTTCCTGCACCATATTGCATGGTACAGTTGTACCACATAATCTTGTTGCAGTGTATTTTTTAAAATAGTGCATGAGTAGGCTGAAATCGCACTGCACGCGGATCGCTTGTGAATTGCACAGGAATGCACAACACGTTCCTGGGCAATTCAAGGTCCCATGCACACAGACCACCTGCTTTAAGTGCTGGGTCACACTAGAACCTGCGTTCCAAACGCACTTGGTGTGCAGTCTGCTGTGGATGTCAATAGATTTCTAACAACACCCCAAACACAGAATGCAAACGCAGTGCATTTTCCTGCAATGGATCACATGAAACCGCAGTACCATGCGATACAGTTGCAGCGTGTTTTTAAAAGTAGTGCATGCACTACCTTTGGTGCGATCCAGTGCAATTTCAGCCCGTTCAAATTAATAGGCTGAAAATCTCATCAAACTGAATTTTAAAGGAACACCTGGTATGAACTGCACTAAAAACAGATGAAGTTATCTAATTCCTTTTTCCCACATTTAGATGTTCCTGGCTTTAGCTGCGGTTAGGTGTGTTTACATGTGTTTGTATGTGTTTAGCTGCTTTAAAGGAGGCGAATTGGTCCCAGGACACAGAAAATTCTATATTGTATAAATTCAGCTAGTTTGAATGCACCTAGATGCTGTTGAATGTTTAGGTGTGCATTCCGCTAGAGAAAGGGTGTCAAACTGGCTGTACTCCAGTGTTGCGAAAACTGCAAGTCCCATCATGCCTATGCCTTTGGGAGTCATACTTGTAACTGTCAATCTTGCAATGCCTCATGGGACTTGTAGTTTGGCAACAGCTGGAGGACCACCAGTTTGACACCTGTGCACTAGAGCAAAACATAATTTCAGGTGGATTTAGAAATTAGTTCCAGACACACCTGAACACCTGTATTTTAATTCCTGTGTGTATGGGGCCTAAGGCCTTGTGCACACTGGACATTTAGGGATTTCCTCTCATGTCTTGTTGCATCTCAGTAATGGAAAGTGAAGAGTAATTTCCCTTATAGGATACAGACAGAAAAACATTAAAAGACAGGGTTTTAACCCTTCCTTACTATATGCAAAACTAAAATAAATCATATTGGCTATGCAAAAAAAAATGCAATGTTGCAGCAGCCTCTTGGTAAGTCATTAGTACCTGTCTGTCACCTAAGGTGGACTTGATTTAATTTGAAACTTTTGTACTGTGCGGTAGCAACCGTTTCGTTCCCCAGTATGCAGTTGAGTTTAAATCACATTCTAAACCAGATCACAAACCAAACTGCATATCTCTTCATTTCAGTGGAGTGTTATTTCATGGACTTTAGGCATATTTAGAGAATACTTATTTAAAGACATGAAAATGGCAATCAAAAAACGGAAAAGAAAACAAAAAGAAAGTCATGTTCATATCTAATTGAAATGAAATTAACTGTCACTTCTTATAAAATCAGGGATCTTAGCATAGTGTTTTAACCTTGTGAATAATCCTAATGTGTTATGTTAATTTTGGTGATATGTAGATGTCTTACCATTGCAAAGGTATAGCTTTTAACTGTCTTATTTTCCAGAAGAAACAGGTTGGAAGCCGAGTATAAAAGAAAAAAGGTAATCTCTATTAATGCTGCAAACTATATTTTACTGACATCTTTTTCATAAATACCGTATTTAGTTACATTTATATAAAATAATAGTCCAGATGTCACAGCAAACATCATGAAACATTTTAAAAATATTTAAAGTGTATCAACTCTGCTAACATTAAGGCTAAGTTCACACCTGTGTGGGTGATTGCCACTCTAGGACCACGCATGTTCCCGCAGATACAACCACCCATACAGAATAACGTGCTACCGCTCAGGAGATGCGTGGGGGGTATTAATCGAAATGGCACCCCCGCACACTGGAAACCGTAGCACTGCTTCCCACACTGGGAACCACACTGCACTTGAAGTTTTGGTCTGGGCAGATTTTTCATATCTCTGCAGGGATTTTTTTCCTGCATTTTCAGGAGGCACTGCAGCCCAAAATATGTCTCGCAAAGCAACAAGTTTAAACCGAACCTAACAGACATTTTTTGAGTGCGCCTTGTCACATAGTTTTATTACATGTTGATCCTGTCAGTAGATTTCCTACCTGCCCCTTCACAATGCAGTTCGTTCTACATTTTTGATGAACATCTAGTTATAAATATTTTCTTAAGTAAGAAAAAAAAAAAAAACTACAGCAAAAAAATCTAATTCCCATCTCCAGCTAATGCTTTTCAAGTCATTAAGATTTTCTTTTTTTTTCTTCTTAAAAATAGTTTTTTCGACCATTGTTATCACCCCTGGCAGTCTGTTATGGATTATCCTGTTCTGGAAATTTTAAGCATCTCCTATCCTCATATTGATTAGTGGTTCCAAATTCATAGTAACTACTGCAGGGAACAGGTACAAAGAGACTCAGCATCTTTCCAAATAACTGATCTGTTTATTCAGTGCATTTGATGTATTTTAGAACAATGCTTAAGTAGGTATCACATTACATAGGCACATGGGCAGGCTAATTTCTTATCAGGACTCTGTGAATACATAATCAAAACATTATTAGTGCCATGTGCACAGTGAGTGAGTGTGCAGTACAAAGCATACACAATGGAATACAATTTTATACAGAATTTACAATTTCTTAAACAATCCCAACATTTGCAATTGCCACTTTTGGTGGATAGCATGGCCTATTTTTACTAGTATAAAATTAACAGATCCACTGGCATAATCAACAGGTAATAAAATGATTTTTTTCGGGCACAGCTTTGCCATCCCTGTTGGATAGATTATTAGACTAAATCTGCATTACTAATACTTTCCCTGAATGCCAATCAAGGGTAAAGCATTGTGAGTGTTAGCATAACTGTAGAAGCCAGACCTCTTTGTTGTTCCGTGCACGTTTTGATTAGCAGGTTTATCTTTTGAAGTTAGCAGCGGTGGCATTATTGAAGCTTAATTCTTGATTATTAATGGGGGTCAAAAATATTCAAAATTTATATCAGGTTTGCATTTGAACCCCGTGGATAATCTTTATGAAATATACAGGCCTAATTCATAAGCCTAAAGGCAATGCTTCTGCTGTGCTGTCTTGTTGGATTACCTATAGATGTTTCTGCTTCTGCTTGTTAGATTACCTATAGTACTCTGAAAATCCTTTTATATAAATTAAACAACAGTTTAAAAACATGTACACTTAAAAATAACACAATAAAAACAAAATTGAACCAAAATCATCATAAATCCCCTATAAACCGCTCTGATTTCAATATGTGAAATCCTATTGGCTGTTTTTGTCTGTAGTACTTTGCACACAATTTATGTACTCTTATTGAAATCTCCCACAAACCTGGATAACGGAGCATATGAAGAAAAAAAGTTTTAATTGGCCAGGTTTGTGAAAGGTTTATTGTATTTTTTTACAGAGTTAGTTATATGATTGCCTCTGAAAATACTTTGATTTATTTTTCTGTCTTGCGGCTTTGTCTTTTTTGTTACATTTTCACCTTCTTGTTTCAAGTAAAGAGCCAAAAGATCCAGATCAATTACACAACACACTCAAGAATATTTTGCAGCAGGTAAAGGTATGTATCAACAAGTGACATGTTTTGTATCATGCAGAGTTCTGTTCATAAGTTGCTTGTTAGTTAAAGCCCAATTCCAGGCACAAAAAAAAATGTGCAGTGAGACCCCTCACAATGCAAGGGTTAAATACTTTTTATATGTAGGGATTTCGGAATAAGGAGAAAATAAGAGACACTTACCTTACATTACTCTCCAGTAGGAACCTTTCAGCTTTGTAGACAGCCCCCCACAGCCTCCTCTGTAAGCTGCTGATGACTATAATTATATGCCCGCCCTCACCATGTACAAAGTAGGGTCAATAGCCCTGCACTGTACGTTATGATAGTAAAGGACCACCCACAGACTCGGATTGGAGAAGCAGGCAGTGCAGGTAATTAAATAATTAATAATACCTGTCCTTCTACCCCCTAGATAAAATGAGGGCTAGCATGGTAGATTTTTTTCTACTTTCTAAAGTTGAGATTTAAAGCTAACTGTAAAACTGTAACTGTAAAAAAAGTTTGGTTTCACAATGGTGCACTGCCTTTTGGCCACAGCACGGATGTAATTGTGGTTTTCTTGCGGTTAACCTGCGTTTTTCCAGTAGACTTTCTATTAGGTCAAGTGTTTTTGGTACATTTTCTGAAAGTGCACCAAAGATGCAGCATGCAGGACATCTGGTGTACTTTCAGAAAATGCACCAAAAACTAGCTACCTAATGGACAGTATTTGGGAAACCGTGGGTTAACTGCATGAAAACTGGAGATACACCCTTGCTGCGGCCAAACCACAGAACAGCAGTGTGAAACCAGCCCCAAATTAAAATATTCCAAAGCATATGAGTGTTCACAAATTGCCTGTCATTCCTCTGTCCTATATCCCTTAATGCTTTCTACCAAGCTCACCCCTTTCTGCACGCCTGCTTTGCAGAAACTGTGTTCGCTCTATACTCTCCGAAACTGCCTAATAAAGCCCTTGGCATGGTGACATTGTTGGCATACTGTGTACAGAACTCTCCCTAAAATCCTATGTCTTCCAGTTACTAACTTTTCCCAGCAGTTTTACTCTTATTACAACACTGGGACAATTACGATTGTCAATAATATATCAGGCAGACTTTCCCACATTGCATCTTCATTTCCTTTAGTTTTTGGACTGGTCTGTCTAAAGCTTTCCAAACACTGTTAGAACACCACATATGGATGAATTCCCCTGCTGGGGTATTGCTTTCTGACAGCCACTGCCATCAGATGTCAAAATACCCCAACAGTGGCTACATCTGATTGAATGCAGTCACGGTTCAACCAGAAATGTTCAACCAAACATTTTCCACCAGGAACACTCTTTGAATAGAGTGAGGCAGGTAGGGCCACCCACTGAGTGAATTTCAGCCAGTTCATCAGGAATTTGCTGAAATTTGCTAATTGTATTGCCAGATTTAGTATCACCAGACCAGTTAGAAAAATAATTTTATGTTGTTTTGAGATCCCTGCGTGGGTCCATGATTTTGCTCTACTTCGTGGATGTTGTGTTCATTAATGTCTACACATATTATAATTGTGTATATGTATACCCTGATGTGCTCAAGGCATGTCTCCTTTCTTGAGTCTCTTTAAAATTAAAAGGCCAGGACAGTACAAATATCCCCAAAATTACCACTTTTTGGACAGTATACAGTCCAAGGTATTTAGTAAGAGGCATTGTAAGTTTTTTGAAGTTGTAATTTTTTGTCACATATTATTGGAAAATGAAGAAATAATATTAGTTTTTTCACAATATTTTTTGCATACTGTCACCAGTGCAGTACAGCTTCATCATAGGACTGGAGTGCTGTGGCGGTAATCAAGGATACTGACTGCTGACAGTATACAAAGAGAAATTTTTATTTTTTATTTTACACATTGTCTACTATTGTGATGATGTGATTGACCACAGCTATCACTTGGTAGAGGGTGCTGTGATTGGCCCAGGTACCATGTGATCACTGTGACCAATCACAGATCACACGTAGTAGACAACAATGATGTCATGAATGGATTCCATATGTGGCCCGGGAACATAGAGCTGCGATCCAGCAGTAAAGTTACTACTACTCGTCTGCAAGTGGTTAAATAAATGCATTGTTTTTAGTGGAAGGCTAAAACCCCTGTCAGCTTTATATTTCTGTGTTGTTGTCGGTTTTACCTTGCTTCCTGGTAAAATTGTTCTCAAAGGGACAGAAAGTGAGGGAAAATTACTCTAAAAGATCAGCACATAGCACTGAAAATTTGGCAGTGGGTTTAGCCTCTACTTCTCTTAGCTGGACATGCATTTTAATGGGTTGCAGCTTAGACTTTAATGTTATGTATCTACTGTTTTGTTATGAGATTCATCATAAACATCAGTCAAATCCAAGAGAATCCTGCCACTGATGAGCTTAGTTCCATAAGCCAGAAAATTAGTTTTATTGTTTTCAAATAACGATTAGTGACCTTTTGTCTTAGTACATAACAATTCCTATGTTTTTATCCTAATATAGTAATCCTTATGGCTTTCCCTTTAATTCAAGAGTCACCAAAGTGCTTGGCCATTCATGGAACCCGTGAAAAGAACAGAAGCTCCCCGGGTACTATGAAGTTATACGATTCCCCATGGGTAATAATGTTAAAGTTTTTAATGCATTGATTTTATTTGAAAAGTGTTGGTTCATCTGTATGGATATATCCTGTCACTATGTACTTAATGGTGTAAAGTAGAACAGGTAATAGTGCTAAAGTCAGGGCACCCACTCAAATTGCTTTAAAATGAACCTGTCATTAGGTTTTTTTTTTTTTTTAAATAGCTCACCTCCTCTACACTAATACTCACCCTGTCTGTGCTCCCCTGCGGTCTCATTTGCCAGCAGGGACCCTGAGTGAAAAACCCTTTCTAAGCACTGCTTGGGTTTTGAACAAAGCAAAGAAACTCCACATGGCTCGCATGTGACAGTGCTGAAGACCGGTGGTTCATCACTTAGACATTGAGCACTGTATTGAGGGAGGAAGGACAGAAGATCTTATGCTCCCTATACCTGGAAGTGCTGTGTATTTTACAGGGCTTTTGGCTGGTTATTGGAACTGTGGAGGATTATGGGGAAATTAAATATCTAAAACAGAGGATGCCCTGAATGGGCAAAGGGACATGTTTACTTTGATCCGAGTTTTAGATCATGTATTGTATCCAGATTCAAAGCATTTTTCATGTGATTTCATGCTGTGCAACCTCCCTGATCCTTCAATGTGTGTGGGGGAATCTACAGTGGCTCAGCCTAGGGCTGCACTAGAATACATTGGTCTGCTTTGGTTTGCATTTTCACAGGTTCATATACAGATCCATTCTGAATGCAAAATACCAATAGCTTAAGAAACTTCGTAAGCACAGCCATCAATACTTGTATGAAAATTTGGTTGATTTGTCCAGTAGACTGTGCATTCCCAGTCAGTTGCATTGCAACATATCTAATCTCCAGTTTTCAAAGCTTGAAGGTAAGCTGGATGAATATTTTGGCTGAAGCACAGATAACAACATTTCAAGGATAGCATTAAAGAAGGTCTAAGTTGTATGGATAAGACTACTCTAATAGATTATCCAGATATTAGAAAGGAAGATTGGAGGCAGTAAGATTATGAATCACTTACCTCTGAACTGTAAAAATCAGACCCTGTGGCAGTGCTATATGGGTCACATGAGGGTGAAAGATTACCCTTTAACGTGAAGAGCTATTGCATGTCATATAACAGAACATACTGACTTTGGGTCACATGACCCAGAAGTGGAGTCCCATGAGATTTTCCTTTTACACTAGCTTTTGATTATTTTTTGGTTCTACCCTGCCATCCTAATGTCCTGGACATATAATAAAGTGGACGTAACTTTACAGGTTCAGTCAGCTTTAGGGTTAGTTTACAGAACCTGTATCATGGGGAAGCTGTAGGAGGTGATGCCTTCCCAAAATGAATTATGTCCCCTCCATAAATACACTTTATTAACTTAAATTATTATCTTTGTTAAGCATTTTCTATTATTTCTTCCATAGTAAAGGATGTCTTCACCTAAACCCACAATCCCTCTTCCAAGTCAGTGTTTGATGAGGGCTCTGCTATGTTCCCCCAGAAATTTCAGTTTCCATTAAGTTTGGGGAAAGCCATGAAAGTGAATGGGATAGATTTCAATGTGAAGATCATTGCTATACTTTTACAAAAACTGGCAAATATGAGCGGTGCTATACTGTATACAATAAATTACTTGTACTATAAACTGGTGCCAAAATTATTTACAAACTTAGACAGTAGCGCTCCTAGAATAAACCTCCCTTGAGAAGTGTCCATAAAAGTGTCCACAAACACAATATGAAAAAAAACAGTGAATAGCTTGCCCTACACGGATCACTTTGTGAGATCCAGTGCCAACTTAACTTCCCGGTGTTTGTATCATCACACACCCTGTGCAAACTGGAACTCAACAGATTCCTATGACCCTCAACTTTAAATAGGTCAATAGGTGTTATCAAGGGACTTTATCCTTGGTTGCTATGCTCAAGACTCCAGGAGTCCCACCACAGTCTCTTCACTCCAACAAGCTTATAAAAGAAAATGGAAAGACTGCAAACAACATCATAGTGTAACAAGTATTTATTCAATCTATGCCATGCCACACAGACTGGAAACATGTACAGTTGTGTCCAAAATTATTCAACCCCCAATGCTGTAAAGGGGTTTAGGGACTATAGTGTACATTTGGAATTGTATTCAGAATCAAATCCTACAAGACGTTGTAACTACCCAAATGCAACTAAAATGACATCAATTGTTTATGTAATACAGTAGTAAATGGTTCTTATGTGGTTTCTTCATTGCCACAATTATTCAACCCCTTAAAGACTACCACTCTGAAGAACAGAGGTTCATACAGGTGCTTTCCATCAGGTATTGAAAACACCTGTGGATGTCACCGAGCAGCAATCAAGCATAATAAGCACCAATTAGGCAGCTTTAAAATGACTGTGATACTCAGCTCCTTCTAGACATTTACTGGTGTGGTTACAAACATGGTGAAGGCAAGAGAATGGTCCAGGAAGACAAGAGAAGAGGTGATTTCTCTTCACAGGAAGGGCAATGGCTATAAGAAGATTGCAAAGATGTTAAACATACCAAGAGACACCTTAGGAAGCATCATTCGCAAATTCAAGGCAAAGGGCACTGTTGAAACGCTACCTGGTCGTGGCAGAAAGAAGATGCTGACTTCGACTGCTGTGCGCTACCTGAAGCGTAGAGTGGAGAGAAGTCCCCGTGTGACTGCTGAGGAACTGAGAAAAGATTTGTCAGATGTGGGTACAGAAGTTTCAGCCCAGACAATAAGACGCACACTGCGTAATGAAGGCCTCCGTGCCAGAACTCCCAGGCGTACCCCCTTGCTGTCTCCAAAGAATAAGAAGAGTCGACTGCAGTATGCCAAAAGCCATGTGGACAAACCACAAAAGTTGTGGGATAGTGTTCTGTGGACTGATGAAACAAAATTAGAACTGTTTGGGCCCATGGATCAACGCTATGTTTGGAGGAGGAAGAACAAGGCCTATGATGAAAAGAACACCTTGCCTACTGTGAAGCATGGTGGAGGGTCAATCATGCTTTGGGGCTGTTTTGCTTCTGCAGGTACAGGGAAGCTTCAGCGTGTGCAAGGTACCATGAATTCTCTTCAGTACCAGGAGATATTGGATGGAAACGTGATGCAGTCCGTCACACACCTGAGGCTTGGGAGACGTTGGACCTTTCAACAGGACAATGATCCCAAGCATACCTCCAAGTCCACTAGAGCATGGTTGCAGAGGAAAGGCTGGAACATTTTGGAGTGGCCATCGCAGTCACCAGACTTAAATCCGATTGAGAACCTCTGGTGGGACTTAAAGAAAGCAGTTGCAGTGCGCAAGCCTAAGAATGTGACTGAACTGGAGGCCTTTGCCCATGAAGAATGGGCGAAGATACCCGTAGATCGCTGCAAGACACTTGTGTCAAGCTATGCTTCACGTTTAAAAGCTGTTATAACTGTAAAAGGATGCTGTACTAAGTACTAAGATTGAATGTCACTTGGGGGTTGAATAAAACTGATAATGCTGTGAGCACAGAAAAGACATTTGTGGTTATTTCATTATAACTGTTATGTTATATTTGTCTGACCTACAAGTGCCTCTTTAATGTAAATGTAAGCAAGATGACTGAATGATCAAAAGCAATGTCAAACTGGCCAAAACACTCAATTTCAGTGGGGGTTGAATAATTTTGGACACAACTGTAGGTGTACATGCACATGTTGGTTGGCCAACATGTTGGCCATGAACCAATACCTAATACTAACCAACTACTAATAACCAATACCAACTGCATACTAATTTATATTCCTTATCATTTGCAATCATACTTCAACTTCAGTGATTATAAAATATGGTGACATTAAACATACTGTATGTGTATATATTTTTATTTTTAATGTAGACTTGAAAACCATGAGCGAACGAGTGAAGAACAGATATTACGTGACTAAAAAGTTATTCATGGCAGACTTGCAGAGGATCTTTACGAACTGCAGAGAATACAACCCACCAGAAAGTGAATACTTCAAGTGTGCAAACATCCTGGAGAAATTCTTCTACACTAAAATTAAGGAAGCTGGACTCATAGACAAATGAGGAGTGACAGCAGTCTGTTATGTGCCTACTATTACTGGCTCACCTACTATTCTGTGTAACATACCACCCTGAAAAATTGCACTTGTTTCAGTACATGCTAACCCTTATCATACTGGCTATCTTTTAGCAAGCTGATTTTTAGCATATACCTTTTTTGTTATGTCTTTTTTTACAGATTTTATTAGAAATGGTGCTTTAAAAGTTTTAGAGCAGAGTATATATGTAATGTTGACCTGAACTGTTTTGTATATTTAGAAGTGTTTTGTAAAATAATGTAAAATTAGGAATTTATGTGGCTTAACCACTATATGTATAACACTCTTTAGCATTGAGTGATAATAAGTTACAGATTTGCTTATGCTGGTCATAAGTTAAAGTATATTCTACTTACTTCTACTTTATTTACACTGCAAACACTAGTAATTGGCTTTAGAAAGTAGGTGATCAGCCATATGGTGTCATTTTTCACTCTCCTGACTGTCTTGTAAGGTTGTAGGGGAGCTGTGACACTCCTTAGACTGATATGACATCATTCTCCCCAGAATGATGTGACAGGGACACATACCCAGTGGTAGAATCACACAAGAGCCTCCAATTTCTTTTGTGAAATCGCTCCCTTGCTGGTCCTGAATGCTGCCAGATCTCCCTCCCTAGAAGGGAAGCAATTCCATAGAAACTGGGAAGTGATCACATAGTGATTCTGATGCTAATTGTTGCAAATGCCAAGAATGACAGTGTGACATGGCCCTTAGGCCGTCTTCTTTCAGAAAATTGTTGTTTTCAGAGATGGGCAAGGAAGGATTAGTTCTTATGTTTCAACCTTTTTATTGTGAAAAAAACAATCGTGCTTGTTCACATTCCATTGTACTCATTATTTCATTTACCTATAGAATCTGGTAAACATGCTGGAATTAGATGCCAGTTATGCAGTAGAGGATTATAGGTGACAATTCTCATTCACAGATATTTGATGTACGGAATAAGGGTCGGGTTAGCAGGAAGTGAGATTGAGCTCAGCGGGTTTTCTGTAGGAATTATTAGCAAAAAGTCATGAAATCAGTGCTTTTACATTTAAACAACAGAAAATGCTTCAAGTGGTTGTAAGCCCTCACATACTGTATACCCAGAGAAGTGACTGACCTCAGGTGATAAACAGAGGTGTCAGGAAAACTTGTCAGAAGTGATTCATGCTGATAATGGAGGAAGAAAGCAGTGGACAGAAATGACACTTAGTGCTCCTAATTGAGACAGGCACACACTGTAGAGGGATATGCTTTGTTCATATTTCATGTCTGAGGTTTGCAACCATTTTAGGGGCTTATCCACGCCAGTTTGTATGCTAAAACGGGATGTTTTAGTATGTGGGCTGGTGTTTGTTGTGTACAGGAAGTGAGGGGTGGTGCCTTGCATTGTTACATTGCAAGGTACTCTTTACCTTTTTTTTCCTTTTTTTTAACTTTATTGAAATGTTACAACATTATATTTCAGTCAGTGCTATGCACCACAGCTCGGCTTTGGTGTGTTGACCAGTGGTGACTTCAGGTGCACTAAAACCCACCTCAAGGTAACATTCTTGTGTGTGCATAAAGTAATAGGAGACATTCGTTTTCTGTGTACCCTGGCGTTAAATCTGTGCTGATCTCTGTAGAATTGGTGTGAATGAGCGCTAAACCTCAGTTGAAGCCTTGTCTTTTTTTTTTACTATAATGCAGTCTGGCTGCATAAACAATAATTGTGCTTCAGCAAAGGTCATACTGCCCCCATGAACCCTTGCACATTGTTCCAATCAATAGCGCTCACGCTGCATGAGCAGCACTTATGATTGGAGCACTGCGCAGGAGACCTGGACCACTGCTGAACACAGAGTTTGGATCTCCAGAATGCTGCCAGAACAGGATAATGTTAACCCTTGCTACAGCACAATAGTTCAAAAAGATTTCTACATGTATTACTGTTTGTTCAGCCTAACTAAATTAGAGCATTACAGTAATGAAAAAAAAAAAAACCAAGACTTGAATTGGCTAAAGTCATAGTTGATATAGTGTGTGAATATATATATATATATATATATATATATATATATACCACACACACAGCCTTTAAGCCAAATGATTTTTAATGCTGACAAGTCACTTTTATCATTTATACACCTCTTCCACAGCAGCAACAAAACAATAAGGAGTGCATTTTAAAAAAATGCATAGCTGTACTCTCATTGAGACTGCATGTTAATTCATTCTGTGCAAATGGAGGAAAATCTAGTGTTATATTGAATGTGGAAAATACCACATTATAGACACTGGATAGAGCTGAGGAGCATGCTTATTTCTTATGATAGTCAATGTCATCTAGTGACCTAATGTATTTTTTGCATTCACACATTTGAACTGCAGAGAATATAGCCAGAGAACATTGAATTTTGCCTCATTCTCACAGAACAAATTTACATGCAAATTTGATGGATGAGCAGCTATGGAATTTTTAAATTTATTATTAGGCCTTTAATTCTGCTCTCTCTTCATGTCGGCAAATATGCATGCGGATGATTGTTCCCTCTCAGTCAGAATTCTGCTGTGGAAGGGAAGACAGAAGCTGATATCAAGACAGATTCAGGTATTTATGATACATTCATTTATTTTTAAAGGAACACACAGATGCATCAATTTTTTTTATATTTTCCCAGAGTTCAGTTTAATGAACAATGTGACATTGTCTAATATGGTCAATGTTAGAGACAGCTGGATTTCCCATTGGGTAAATGTTTTTTGAAAATGTGGCAAATCTTCCAAGAGATCTTTTGAGTCAGTAAGCAACAAATGTTCTCCAAATGATTAATTTGTCAATATTCCCTTAATTCTATTGTTCTCCAATATGTTTTATATTTACAGATGACAAATAGTGGTGAGAGAAGATGTAAAGAGTATGTATAGTCATTGTCTTCCTTAGTTTTGGATATAGTAAGATTAAATCCACTGTCAGTTATTTTTTTGCTGCCTGTGCCACATTATGAAGATTTCCTTACACTTCCTGTCTCAGAAATGCAACAGGAAGTGAGAGAAGATCCCTAAAAAGTGAGGAAAAGTTGCCCCTTAGACAGATGTCATTTGAACAGGTGTTCTCATAGATGTTCTCATTTAAGGGCTTATGTACATCAGATGTATTTAACTGAGTTTAAAAACACCTGTCAAATGCAGGTCACCAAATTCCAATTTTATCTCCATGGTACAGTGTTGATCACCCTTCTAAGCCTGTGTCTGAACTACTTTGCACTGCATTTCTCTGACCGCAGCTTGCTCATTGAAGACATGTTTGCACTGCACGTCAAGCACAGCCTTTTGCATTTTTAATGTGTGTGTTTGAGCTTTATTGCTTTTCAACAAAAACCCAACATTTTATAGCTATGCGTATGGTTTCGATGACAACTGTTAAATTTTAGATTTCAAAACCAATGTATATATAGGGGAATTGTATTAATCGTGGGTTATACCATTGGATAGTGTCATCCCCTTAAGGAACATAACAAAGAGAAATACAAACAATGGGACTTTAAATATACCTCCAATGGTCAAATATACCATGACACAGATATTAAATAGAATTACATGTCTTTATTACATCAGTTTAAAAAGCCTTTCTTCTATTCACCACTTGCCCTCCAGAGGATTTACCCCATTCCTGACCAGGCCATTTTTTGCTTTACGACGCTGCTTTACTTTAACTGACAATTGCATGGTTATGCAACGCTGCACCCAAATTAAATTTACGTCTTTTTTTCCCACAAATTCAGCTTTTTTCTATGGTATTTGATCTCCTGTGCATTTTTTTATTTTTTGCACTATAAAAAAAAAGAACGGCAATTTTGATTTAAAAAAAAAAACTATTTTTAACTCTTTGCTATTAAACATGTTCAGTAAAAAATGTAAAAACTCAAATTTTGTTATAAATTTAGGCCAAAATGTATTCTGCTACATGTCTTTGCTAAAAACAAAACCCAATACGTGTAAATTAATTGGTTTACGTGAAAGTTATAGCATTTACAAATGGCAGTATATATACTGGGATTTTTTTAATTTTTATTTTTACTAGTAATGGCAGTGATCAGCGACTTATAAAGGAACTGCGGCGGGCATTCTGACACTGGGGGGAACTGACTTGGTGTCACTGACATCCCCAGTGACACCAATACAGTGATCAGTTCTAATAAAAAGCACTGACACTGTACTAATGGCACTGGGCAGGAAGGAGTTAACATCTGGGGCGATCAAAGGGTTAACTGTGTGCCGGGTGTGTTTTACTATGGGGCTGTGTCTGTGTGCTTCACTGTAAGCACACTGCTTTGCATGGCTGTGCTCACGAGCTGACAGGGATGAATACTGTTTTGTTTACTAACAGTTTTCCTCCCCGTCGGAGATGCTCAGCAATCACCGGGCGCCAGCAAGTAATCACCAGCCGGGACCGGTGATAGACAGCCTCGGACGCGCCTGGAAATGCAAAATTACGTATATATACATGATTTAGCGCAGCCGTTCTGCCCTGTAGCAGTATTTTTGCTATAGGGCAGATGGGAAGCAGTTAAAAACATATGCAGTTTAAAATAGGATGCCAACTCTACCACTTGTCTTCCACATAAATAAATGGAAGAACTATAGCATGGAAGTCCTCGGAGATCTTTGAATGTAGGTCGACGTGTTTTGCGGGATGATCCACTTCACCAGGACCTTGAGATCTCGAATATAGATACAGTTGGCCACTAAAATAGTATTAGAGAGATGCAAATTAGCCAAACATGATATATCTTACATATTGAACTTAATATGTCTCTACAAAAATGTCTATCCCCAAAAAGAGGCAGAGAGAGAAAGAAAAGGGAAGGGAAAAACAGAATTGTGAACACTGGAAAGGAAAGAGGGGAAAAGAAGGAAAGAGGAAGAGAAAACAGAATGGAAAGAGGAAGAGAGAGAAAGCAAGGAAAAATACATGCAAAGTATATATACCAATATATACCTTCCAATATGAAAGTTAAAGATCATAAGTGGATTTGAACTTTCCTTTTCCTTTCATTTCTTTTCCTTTCCTTACCTTTTCCTCTCTCCAAATTCTTTTATTTTTCCCCTTACCTCTACCCTTTTCTTTCCCTCTCTTCCTCTTTTTGGAGATAGATATTTTTGCAGAGACATATTAATTTGTTATTGTTTTTCACTATGTAAGATATATGATGTTTGGCTAATTTGCATCTCTATAATACTATTTTAGTGGCCAACTGTACCTATGTTAGAGATCCAAGGTCCTGGTGCAGCGGGTCATCCCGCGAAACATGTCGACTTACATTTAAAGATCTCTGAGGACTTCCATACTATTGTTCTTCCATTTATTTATGTGGAGGACAAGTGGTAGAGTTGACTTCCTGTTTCAAACTACATATGTATTTAATGGAAGAAATGCATTTTAAGCTGATGTAATAAAGACATATAATTCTTTTTAATATCCGTGTCATGTGTATATTTGATCATTGGAGGGATATTTAAAGACCCATTGTTTGTATTTCTGTTTGTAATAAACTTTAGATTTCCTGTCACTTTCTATCTCAGTGGTAATGAGTGAATCTCCCCAGAGGATACACAGATGACAATGTAAACCTGACAAAGGCTCTAACCCTTCCCTGCTCTGTCTCAAATTAAAAAGAAAGTTTGGGCTAGACATATATAGTACTTTAACAAAGTGTCTGTGTACTTATTGCATGCAGATTCATACCTATACTTCCCAACCAGTATGTGAAAATGAAGTTTAGAATCTGGTTAGATTCCATTGGAATCTTCCTTCGGGTACTTACAATTGAGTCCCAGAATTCTTTACATCCTACCTCTACACCAATTGCATTCAGTAAAAGTGCCATGATAGGCAGGGTTATGGCTGTCATAGGGTCGGGGATCATCAGCTGCTAGCTGACTTTAGCGCTGATCATGAGCAGTATTTTGTGCTTCTCTGGGTTGTGTATTTGTAAAACATATCAGAAATAGATATTATTGTACCTTGATTTTTTTTTTAATATGGAATTAGCACTGCAGTTATCATGCAGTTCTCAATTGTAATCAAAATCTATAATTTGTGCAGTATATTTTTGTGTTATTGTGTAATTTCTTATAAATTGTTACAGTGTCCATATCCAATTTAGACATTATTGCACAAAGATGTTTTATGATATGCTGTCCCTAGTAATAATACAATTCTGCGTGACCAAAATTGATAAGCAAAAATACTTGTAGAACTGTACAAACTTGATACCTATGCTGGAAACAATATTATTTTAACAGCTTTTCAAGGATTTGAACTTTTCTATATTTTGGCTTATTTTTATTACAAAAAGATATGATATTACCTCCCAGCAGTCTAATGGTTAGCATCATCTTATTCAGATATACTCTGTTCTGTCACCCATTCTATCTGGGATAGTGAAGTTGAACAACAAGTTCAATGATATGAAAACTCCATCTGTGTCTTCTAACACAGCTTTTCAGCTCTGTGACAGAATCCTTTAAAGTGAAACTTCACTGCATCTGAGCACCACAAACAAAAAACGCTGTTTAGTTTAATTTTTAATATTCAAAGCAATCTCCCCCATCCATCCATTTCTTCATGCTTTATTTTACTGAGAAATTAAATTGAAAAACACCCCCTTAGCATTTCTGGTCACCATCTTGAGTGAGTGCAGATGGTTTATTTCTTTGGCACCATATGCCCTTAGCTCAGTCATGCAAGCAGGAGAGTGCTCTTCGCTAAGAATACCCCTCTTCCCTTTCTGAAGACTCCTGGGATGTATGACATCATTTGCCTAGACATGGAGACCAGGAGGTAAATAAAGAAATGTAAAGAAAACCTGAAAAAATAAATATGATATGCTTTCTTGTCTATTTACTAATCTATTTACTAATGCCAGCAGCATAAGGATTAAATATAGTCAATGTTGAAGTTCAACTTTAAAGAAGTTCAACTGTTTGGAAAGCATATACATGCTGTAGCTGAATGTTAAACACCATTCAAAACTTTTACTTTCAATTTTGAATAGTTTGCTTTGTTATGCACTGTCCTGATAATCATTTCTAATTTAACCTTATATCATACTTACAAGCTGAATATTTGTTGTAAGGTGATGACTGCCATTGGTTCCTCGGAAGGGGCAGAAAGGGAGGTGAAATCTTTCTAACAGAAATGCAGCAATAACACTTATATAGCAGAGTGGGGAATCAGAAGTTATTTTAGGTTTAATGCTGACGGTTTATTTTGCCCATATTTACGTTCTGGTGTCAGCTGTCCCTGGTAAGAAAACAGCTGCAAAAGGTTTTTACCTTTCCTCATGCCATGTAAAACCTGGCTACAGTCCTGCTTTAAAGCAGAAATTCAAGATTTTTTTCTTAACCGCAGTGTAAAAACAAGTTAAGCAGCGTATACTCCAAAACATAACTTTTTAACGCTGCATATTTTCAAAAAATGCCTTGAGTTCTGCTTTAAAGCCCAACTTCGGGATTAAGAGAAAAAAACTTTGCCTGTACTGCTAGTGCTAAATGATTGTTAAGTCTTACCCATCGCTCTGGCAGGCTCTCTCCTTTGCTCTGGGCTGTGGGCAGTCTATCATTGTCATCATGTACAATTAGGGGATATTAAAGTGATTTGTAAACTTTTTTCTAATTAAAATAAAAAAAGGTTGATACTTACCTGCTCTGTGAAATGGTTTTGCACTTAGTGGCTCCTTACCTTCTGTTCTGGAGTTCTCTGCCAGTACTGTCCACTCCTTCTCTCCTGCATTTGCGTCCATACCAAGCCCTATGCTATGGGGGCACACGTGTGGGTGCAATCCCGAGCTGAGCTGTGTGCGTTCCCTCAGACAAGCACAGCGTGGCTCAGTCATACCCCGACTCTTTCCTCAGGATTTGACTAGCAGCAGCAGCAGGAGCCAATGGCTCCCACTGCTGCCTGCTTATCCGTGAGGCTAGGAAGAGGGGAGAGAACCAAAGCTGTGCACAGCGCTGGATCGAGAGAAGGCTCAGGCAAGTGTTGGGGTGGGCGGGGGCACAATAAATGGTAAAACATTTTTACCTTAATGCAAGGAATGCATTATATTTAGAAACACTTTAACTCTGCATTGTACATGGAGGAGGGAGGCATGGAACTGCAGGCAGGAGCATCTTAGGAGATTTGTGGGCGTAGGTTCATGAATGGAGGAAACTTAAGGAATGAGGAGTAGGTTAAGTATTATTCCTTATCCCTCCCCTAGACTTAACCCCTGGGCTTTAACTGTGTTTTTGTGTCATTATTTACAATTTGTACTGGAGTGCGTGATCACCTTTTTTGAATCCTTCTCCCAGAGATGTTCCTACCATGAGGCAACATGAGGATATGTTTTCAAAAACATGATGTCAGCTTTTATATGACTGTTGTCTCCTTAGCTTGACTTGTACTGTCCACATCTAGAGGAGGCATGCAGTGATACCTAGTTATTTACACACAAAAATTGATTATGAGGAGACTCTATACTTGTCATTGATTTACAGAACTACTACATGAAAGAAAAATCACACAGCTCACTGGAGCACCAAGCTGCAGAGGGGGTAGGAGCGCCTGGTTCAGGCTCTCAGTGGCTTGCTGAGAGACCGAGCCAGCTGCTGGTCCAGGCATTGGATGGATCCTGACATTAAAGATGGGATCTCTCCAGAATCTAGACCAGCTGAGTGATGTCAACTGATTACGGGTCAAAGGAGTGCAGAACACAGTGCACTCCTGTGATTCTCAGAAGTAGGACCAAAAGAGCTTTGGCCCTATGTCTCCTTTCATTTGTATTTAACTATATGAGAGCTGTCATACCTGGCAAATCATTACTACTTCTGTCTAACTGGTCCTGAGATTTACACAGCTCTGCCATACAACACAGCCCAGTCTGGCAGGGCTGGAGGCCTGATTTTTCTCTGCTGAAGATAAGCCACACTTGCACATCTTGTTCCTCCCCCAATCTATGACTGGATAGTGAAAGGAGAAGCAGCAAACTTGATGAACTCATTTTCTGTCACTCTTTTCTCTCTTCATATTAGCATGCTTCCTGTCAGCACATAACCATTGAAGCTCAAGTGACTTGCTCATTGTGCTGCTTTTTCCTATTCCATTCTTTAGTTCTGCTATATAGGGACAATAGGGTGACACCAGGTGACATCAGGCATTTACACTGCTTGTATTTAAAAGAAAATGATTTATTAATCAATACAGACCTGCATTAATTTTTATCTTGTATATCTGCCTGGAGTTAAGATTAATATTAGGTCTGTTTAGCAGATGTAACTGCTCCAAACAAAAATGACTTAGCCCCAATTC